TCAGTTACTATGTAAAACTGAGTAATTTTTATAATGCAAAGCATTTGGTGATTCAAAAATTAGATTTTTTAGTGTTTATTTCATCTTATTATAATAAACTTGTTATATTAAAAAAAATTTTTTTTTCGTTTTCTCGTTTTTATTGAGAAGTTAAGGGCGAGAATCTTAAAAATTAATGTAGTTTTATTAATTTTTTCTTAAAGAAAAAAAACTTAAGCAACGCTATATTTTTTGAAGAGTTTTTTTGAGAATTTTGCTTTATCTGCTTCTTTTTAGTATTTGCAAATATTGAATTAAAGTTTCAGAGGAATGTTTTTCCATAATTCAGATATGATTGCATATGTTATTTCATCATACTCGAATTCAATATAACTGCTACGCTGGAGAACAAGATCCGGGTTATACGAAAATATTTTGCTTGCACTGAAAACGAAACAGCACAAGCAGAAACGTGGAGGAAGAAAAACATAATTTATTTGCATACAAAATGGGATTAAAATTATTTGCTATAATCACTAAATTGGAAAAATTAAAAATGTATGAAAATCAATAAAATACTTATTTAAATTGATCTATTGTTCAAGCTACTGGAAACATTTATGTGACATAATAAAAATATTCTTACCACACTGTTAATATTGTATTCGTGAGGTTTTTACTGCAATATTGTTTTTTTTTTTTTCAATTATCACAATTTGCATTTTTTTATTTTTTCAAGTATCAAAGATAATTCATGGGTTTTTAAGTAGATTTTAAAGGCCTCGTCGCAATTTTTTCTGTAATCGATACACCTCCAGCCATTAAATTGTTATCGGAAAATTACACTTGGCCGTTTTCGGCCTCAATAATTTTCCGTTTCGATTCAGGATAAACAGAAATTCGAGAAAATATGGAATTTCGTTCACATAATTTGGAATAAGGCCTTGAGGCATACAAGGATGGAATGTCACGAAATAATTTTATCTTTGTTTAGACAAAAGTTCATCCAACATTTATGTATGGTTTTCGACAATAGGCCACTACAAAAGCTCGGTTACCTCTGCAATAAAGGATTTCACCGTTGTGTTTTGTGTTGGTATTACGATGATGTAATTTACGGCCGGTTATGGATTATTCTATAACTAGTACTTCGTTTTTCATTGCTTTACTCACTCTTTCATTATTATTTATTAACATTCGATGAAGCTCTTGAAAAATACCCCAGACGTTTATTATAAATGGTTCGACGTCTATCTTCCTGTCACCAAAACTCGCCGGTTATTAATATAAATATAATACTTTTTAACAATATCTTTGAGACTTGCAACTTTTTACCTTAAAGCTGCTTGAGAGCAATAAGGTGATTTCTAAACTTACATGTTGACAGAAACTGCAATTACCTTTAGTAGTCTTATCAGGGTAAATATTTGAAACTACATATAGCTGAAATTTTATTTCTTAAGTAAAATTTCCGCCTTTGGAATAGTGTTTGTTTTAATGTTGAGGGTTTACACGTCATAAATAACATTTTTACATATGAGTTAGCGAGAGCATAAATTTCTCTTAGTTTGCGTACGCCAAGTTTTGTGGTGGAATACGATTTCTGATGCAACCTCAAAACTAACTAACTGTATATAATTATAAAACTTACCAGAAGAGGATTTTTGACTACGTTTAAAATATTTTATTTATACAACGCTCATTCTATTTTTGTTGATTTATATTACGCGGTTAAAATTTAATTTTTGGTGACTTGATTAGATTTAATATTTAATCAATAATATTCAATCAATTTAATCTGTCATTAGCCAAGTTTTTGATAAATATATATTTCGTGTCAATGAAATGGTATTTGGTTAATGGCCATTATCATACTTGCGATGTTGGTTTGTAATTAGGCATTTTCAATAGGCATAAACAGAGCATTATCACCCACTAGGAACGAGCTGTGTATTACTAGCTTACATGTAGCATTAAAATTTAGTAGAGTATAGAACGATAATCGCTTCAGATGTTTACACTGTGAAACATTACATCGATTCCGTTTCTTCTCTTGTTTAGGTAAAATAAATCAGAATTTTTGAAATCTAAATGTGTTGTTTTGAGCAAGTTTCTTGTGAAATGTGAGCATTTTCGTGTGTAATAAGTATGGGAAGACTTTAGCTTGTCGTAATGTGGCCGAAAAAGGCTATGAGAATATCAGGTCGGAAGCTTTATTACATTACAAAGGCTTTTCATGAGACAAATCTTTTCAGGTTTATGAGTTGTTTGATAAAAGTCCGGTCGCATGAGGTAAGTTGAGGAATTTAGAGAAGCCTTCACTTAAGTTTGCGACACGAAATAATTAATGACTTTAAGTTACTCTATTTCGTAATTGGTAATTAACTGATGTATAACAACACTCGAGGGGATAAAGTACACGGGTCAGCTATGCGAATAGGTGTTTTGTTGGATTTTGTACACAGAAAAATTAACACATGAGCATTAAATGCTATTATGCACTGCTTAACTGTAAACAGACGGCTAAAAGAGCATTAGAATAAAAAGTTTGAAAGGTAAATTACACAACTTAGTTAGTCTTGTATTTCGATAAAGTGGAGGTACAAGATGTTAAACTTGGAAATTATGTAGACGACGTTCTTGTTCATCTTTTATTAAAAGTAAAATGCATAGGAAATAGAGTATAAAACTTGTTTCAATCTTCCTAAAACATGTTGGAAGCATCATTTAAGAAATTTAAAAGGCATTTTTGTCTATTTTGTGTCATTTGCAAAAACTGAATGAAAATAATTTACCTTACAGCTTTGTAAAAATCTGTCGTACATTGGTAATGCCGTGATTTATCAAATAAATGAAACATGAACATGTGGTGCTTCTGTAGAATATTAAATTATTAAAATGTTTGTTATTTTAATCAATGGAGATTTAGGTCTACAATTTATAGTTATTTCGAATCCAACGTTTTCAAATTATTATATTATATTTTGTATCGATTCTATAAGTGTTTGAGAAATGTAGAAAAATATACGTATTTATTAAAAAAATGTCATATTTATATTTATCTGATTTTATTAATCAAATGTACACGTATTTCTGATATAATTTATTATTATTAAATTTATTATCAGTTTATGTTTCTACACAAAAAATTAGTGGTTTGTTTTATTTGTATAATTTTTTTTCTTTTTATATTGTTTCAAATCCTGTTTATTTTACTAAATTTAAATTATAATTCATTAGAGAAGTACCTACATGTTATTTTATTAGTTTTTTTATTAACACAATTTTTTGGGATGTTACAACTTTTACACAAATTTATTGTGTGTAATAACGGCTGTTTTTTTTTAATTTGGCGTCTTAGTTGGCGGTGACTATGAGTTTGTTGTGAACGAACCACAATTTTTAATACAGCTTGTTCCAAATTTGATTGCGAACTGATGTTGTCAAAAATGACAACTTCATTTTGACACTAAAAATACAGGGTGAATATAAAGTATGGAACCAAGCGATTTTTTTTAATCATGTGCCTCCAGAAAATAATAATTAATATAAATCAAAGTATGTAATATAAAACATGTAATCGTATTTTAAGAACGAAATTTGAGTTATACTATTTTTTTTTTGTCAAAATTGCAATTTATGTTAAAAAAATTTTGTTAATTAAATATAATGTTGTATAATCCTTAGATCATATTTTAGAGAAAAATGGTTTTATACTGGGTTGCCATTTAAAAAAATTAAACATTTTCGTAGATCTCAAAAACAAAAGAAAATTTCGACAAAATTTATTCGTGATAAAACATCACATTTTTATTTCTAGTACTTTACCATTCATCAATTTTTCATCAGTTTTTCCAAAAAATAAATAGTTTAAGCAAAAACGTTTGGTTCCATACTTTTTATTCACCTGGTATGAATGTTTACTATTAAAAAAAATTGTCCATAGGCGTGGTAATAAAATGTATTTTAAAATCACTGTTATTTAAAAAAAATAAGTCGATGGTTCCTTCACAATAAAACTTTAATGTAATACACAAATAAATACTAAATATACGAGGGTGGATCCCTATGCTCCACCCCTGACACCCTTGCAGTCAAACTACAGAGGTATTATATTGTTTATTTTTTGACATAGTCTTCCTCTACAATAATGCACTTGGTCGATCGTTTCTCCAACATCTCAACAGTCTCCAGGAAAAATTTTTGTCCGACCTCTACAAACCACCTCTCTACAGCTTGTATCAGTTCATATTTCCACTCTTTACTCTGGAGTTTTGGTTCGGGATCATAGTGGTGCACCTATGACTCGTCTAGGGTCACATACGAACTAAGACAGTTTTCTTTGTTTGCTTGGTACTTTTCCAAAAGACGCTCACAGGTCAACTCCCGATTTCGTTTTTGATCACATTCGGGGCACTCATCTTGCACTAATTTTTTTCATATCTAATTCTTTATTCAGTATGTGGTGCACCACATGATATGATAAGCCAGTATCTTCCCCAATGTTTCTGATGCGTACTCGTCGGTTTTGCAGTACGATATCGTGTACCTTTTTAATGTTTTTGTCTGTTGTTACCGTTCTGGGAGGACCACCGGTATGCTGGTTTTTACAGGATGTTCTTCCGCATTTAAAATCTCGACACGAATGTTTGACTATGTCATAAGAAACTGCAGACTCCCCAATAGTTGCGACAATGTCTTCATGAATTTGAGTTGAGTCATACCCTTTTTCTGGAGGTATTTTATTACGGCTCTTTGTTCTACAGGTTCCATTTTTATAAACAATCACGACACACAGTTAAAGAATTGGTCACAGCACAGCAACGGTTTGAGATACAAAGTAGATATTTTGCAGATATGATGTACAAATGTCAGTTAACTAACTGTTAAAAATATAAATCAAACAACCACTTAGAAGTAAGTCAGGGGTCGAGCATAGGGATCCACCCTCGTATAATATTACAGTGTTTGTATTTTTTTTTTCAATTTACATTTTATATGTCAGTTGTCTTTTTTGGATTACACTGTGCACATTCAATCATAAAATGGAGCGCTTAAGAAGATTGAGTCAGATTTTGTTCCCATCATATCAAGTGATTTTTGTAGTGATTATCTCAATGTCGTTTTAAATGGAAATTTTCCTAGTCAGAGCGTCGATATCTCCACGAGAGTGACGTTCGAAGCGTATTCTAATAAGTGAATAAGGGTTCGTAAAATGTGACATGTAAAAGAGCGACCTTTCATGCATATTATAAATTTTACTCTTAATAACATTTTTTTGTTCTCTAAGTATCCAAAATTCATCGTAATCTCGAAGGCACTTCCTCCAAATTTTTTGAAAGAAGGAAAAAAACGTTGACAATTGTGCGCAAAATTGAAAAATTATGATGGATCGAGCCACCTAATGGATATTTGACACCGACAATGCCATGCGTGAATGTGGGGGAGGGAAGCCGTTATTAAAACTTACCCCTTGAAAAGTCTCAGAGACGTGGATCAGACAACATTAAAAACTTTTCTCGAAATAGGTTATGGCAGCTAATTCTGCTGCGTGATGATTAATGTTAGCAGCTGTTCGAATTGGCACCGCCACCGTGGAAAACCCATTTCGCTATCCAGGAATAGGAAAAAAGCCCGATTTTTTTCAAAATGCAATTAAATTTCAACCACCAACAATAATTGCAGCCGGTTTTAGTTGCTTTATTTTGTTTGTTTGTCGGGAAAGTGGAATGTTTTCAAGCGTACTCCACAAATAAATCATTTTAAAGCCGGGGAAAAAGTTGGCGATTCACTGAGGGTGAGAAAATAAACATTGACATTGAGTAAGTGAGGGATTCGTTGGCCTTATTAAATAAAGGAGATCGAAACTGGCATACCATAGGAGGGGTATTGAGAACGCCACCATTTATAATCTTTAATTGTAACATATTTCTTCAGTCACGATGGAAGTAATGGCACAAAAAGCTAAAAGCGACTACGGTGAAATTACATGAATAAACGGACGAATTAGGATACAAAATAAGGAAAAACGACGCGCAAATTGACGCTTTTATACTAGCTGAGGACTGCAATTTATTTACTTTATTCACGGTGTAATAAATATTTTGATTAAAAATTCACATTTATAATCATTTCAAATCAGTGGCAGTTTTTAATTATAAATTATTTTTGCTTATCCCGGGGTTTGCATTTGTTTCATAAATTTAAACAAATAATTTATGTTTAATATTAAATTTTGTTGCCGTCAGTTTTTATACATAGTGGATCATTTTTTCATCTCAGAATTAATTAGCATCATAGTTTGTCTATTTTTTTATAAATTTAAGATATTTCTAGTCAAAGCAGGTTTTAAACCATATTTTAGGATACATTTGGAAAGGATAAAGGATATTTTTATTTTAATAAAAACTGCAATTTATTATTTACTTAATTGATGGTATAACAGACAATATTAATGATAGAGTATTTTCCAAAACATAAAAATGAGAACGTCAGCAAGAAACGTTACCAACTGCCGCTTTATGAAAGAAAATTCTACTTGGTGGATAAAACTCTGAAAACGTTGTTTTTTGAAGTTGATTTCTTGTTTATATTTAGTCATTCTAACATTATCACGCCTTTGTTCTTAATGCAATTGAAGTGCTTTTATCTTTTCTCTTTTTTAACGAGGCAGATTTATTTTTCTGAACTTTTTTTTCATCAATTTAATAAAATATTCCGTCACAAATTAGCCTTTCACTTTTTAATCTCATAAAACGATTCAGCAAGCGGTAGCCCTGATTGATTTTTTTATTAAAAATGAAGGGTCGAAGCGGTGTAATTAAAGACGATACTTACCCTATCTGGGGAAAAATTGACATCTGTTTTAATATTTATGAGATTTCGTGCTTACCAAATACGTGAGGCTACGACATTTATTTCTGTTATGTTGGTAGCTTGCATTAGTTTTGGTGGACCACAGCCAAAGCTTATCTTGAGTAATACCAACATTAAACCGAAATCACGTCGAAGAGCTTCATATTCATTTTATTTGGGTTCAGTCAAGGCAATTAATCATTTTCTTTTTTGAAAAATCCAAGCGAAGTAAAATTAAGACTGTGTATTTATCAAAGTAACGAATTTGAGTGGGATTGAAATTGAAAGGCAATGCTTGAATCTCTGACATGACGGAATGTTCACGATTTGAATAAATTTTTAAAGTTATGACCTTTTGGGGTGGTTTTCGTATTCATTGTCCACATCTGGTGTATTACATACATGCTTTGCATTGTTTCCAACAAAGGACATTGTTTAGGGAATTTGACTGATTTAGTTTAGTTGAGTGACTTAATTCACCCTGTATGAAACGCGAAATATGTCAGAATTTCTTTTAATTATCTTTAACTTCGTTGCTGAATAATTTACTACGCACCGGAGTGATTAATTAATCCTATAAGTTTAGAGTTTAATTAAGCTCTAATTATATTTTCGAAACGTTTCACTATACGTGTAATATGTGGTTTCGCTGAATTTTGAAGATAACTAAGCTCCGTGTCAGCGTGAAACGTCGACGCTGCGAGAATTTAACGTCAGCGGTCAAGTTTACATAAGGATCAATTATGGGCGAAATAAAAAGGATCTTGTGGGATTCCTTGGGTTAGTCCTGTATCGTCCTGACGTGATTGATGGTCATGGAGGATCTCTGGTGAGCTGTGATCGATGGTACAATAGCAGTAATGAACAATAATGGCTTGGACTGTTGTGGTTCTAAATCGGTGTTTTTTTAAGAGCTTCGTCATATTTTTTTGAAGAATGGGAGTATTTGGGAGATTTATGTGGCGGTCACGCATTTAATTATTTCGAAGGATGTGAGGTGGACGCAGGTTAAGCTGATGGATTATGTCGATTTGAGCCAACGAAGATGCAACGATTTGTTTTTTGGGAATTTAAATGTGTATTTGAAAACCTACAACGTTGTCTGGTTTTGTTACACTATTTAGAATTGTTTTCCAACAAAATAGTAGTTTGAAAATGCAGATGACACACGAAACACTAGAGAATTTTCTAGTTATTATTATTTAAGTTTTCAATTCTTGTAACTGCATTCTTTGCAGACGATATTTTCAGCTTATAGTTTAAATATTTTATGAAAATGATTTTTAATAAATATTTAGAACTTAAAAAGCATTAGGTACCTGTATTAATTGAAAAATAACAGTTTTAAAAATTAATTCACTTTGAATTAATTTTGGAATATCTCTAGGGTATCTAATTTCGAAGCAGCTTAATTTACTCGCTCGTTTTATACCTACTATATTTATATTTTTCGGAAGCTGTCAGTAATAAATCCAGCATTTTTTATAGCAGTAGCCTTTAATACGCTGTAAATAAAATTTAATTGCCCTTTATATATATTTTTTTCAAATTCATTATTTCTTGGTGAAATTAAAACTGCGAGGAAATTTTGTAAGAAATATTTAAACAAAAAACGAAACTACATCATACATTGTGATTTGTCGTTATAACATTTATCTTTCTCTACTCGTAGGATAAAACTTAATGATGCGACGGATCTCTCGTAAATGTTACGATCACTTACGAAATTAAAAAAAGAATCACTTGTAATAATCATAATTTGGCTAGTTTTGTTGCGTGTATAGTGGATTTAATGTCTTGGAAAAAACAAGTTTAATAATATACAGGCACTAATTGAAGGTTAAATATTTCAGTAATTCTTCGCAGTTTGTTATTGCTTTGGGAATAAAAGTTTATAACTCTGAAAGCAAGACGAACGGTGCATTTACGATTAGATAGACAGACAGTATTTTGAGCGCAAGTACTAATTATTTCCTTGAAATTTGTTTTTTGTTCTGCATAACAACTTAATTTTATGAAAAGAAATATTATGTTACTTGAAGGATAACAACTTGAATTAAATTTAAATATTAAACGCAATGGAGATGTAATGTAGATGAGAGAATTTTAAAAATAATTGACTTTATAGCGTCCAACTTTCGAAATAATTCAATTTTATTTCGTTTCAAAGAAACATTAAACTAATGAATGATTTAGATAAAAACAATTACGCTGCAGTGTTATCTGCAGACTAAAATAACTCGCAAATGTGATATAGTGCAGAAAGAAAACAGATGACTCCCAACTCCAGTTTTATCTCGATGTAAAATATTGTTTTAGACTATAGACAATTCCAATTAATTTTCATTTGTCGAATCAGTGGTTTTAAGTTGTAGCTTCAACGTGTCTCGTACCTTTTATCCTTTGATGTTTTAATTAATTCAGACAAGACCAGTGTTGAAAATAGCTTTTAGTTATTAATGGACTGTAAAAATCAAACATTCAAGTTAACATCAACAAGAACACGCTAAAGTGCACTCAGAACTGGAATTTAATAACGAGGGACTTTGGTGCATTTGCTCAAGCCAGTGGTAACTAGTGAATTAGTAGACAATAAAGCTAATTCGACAAAAGTTAAGTTGATTCACTGGCTTAAGGAGATAATTCCAGCTCTATTGCTATGACTGGTCAATCAGTTTTAACTTTAATTAGGTAGACAGTCGGCGCATCCACCATTTTTCTACGTAAATATTTACTTTTTTCTGAGAGATAAATTCAGACGAGATTTTGTAGTTAGATTTTCTGTAATAATGTTTATCTAAATTGTACTGATTGTAATCGTAAATATTCAACAATGTTTCAGCATTTTTATACGAAGGGATACTTGTTTATTTTTACATTTTCTAGAAATTTAAATTTAGATATTTTTAATTTTTATTGCTTTTTTTTTTAGGTGAGCGGAGCACAGGGAGACACTAGAAATATGCGTGTTTACGAAAAAATTATTATGTACAAAATTAAACCATACAAAATTTCCTTCAGGACAATGTTTTAGTTTTTTTAAATTCTCAAATAAATGGTTTTTGAGATATTTGCTAGCAAATATTGCACTCCACTTACTAATTAAGACTAAAAACTATCAATGAATCAACCTAAGAATCGTTGTAAATGTTATAAGCAATGTGATTGGGCCCCTTGTGGTCGGCCATTAAAATAATTTAAAAAACCAATCACTTTAGATTTTTGGATTAATTCGAAAATTTAATGCAATGATGTGATTGGTCCGTTTGAAGTCGGCCATCATTATCATGTGAGTAACCATGGTGAAGCCAATCACTTTTGAGTTTTGGATTCATTCAAAAATTTTACGAAATTGGTAAATTTAGATTTGCATTAATTTATGAAAATAAATCCAGTTTTTTTAAGAAAATGTTATTGTGTGCGCTTCTTCTCGCCACTGTGAGTATTTTCACAGCAAATTTGTACCCTACATTTTGTAATTCTTGATTGGGAATTAAAACCTTAAAAGAAATGGGAATATTAGTGTTTTACCCATTCTGTCTGCTTACAAACACAACATGAATTAGTGAAGAGGATACAGAAGTGAAAATTTTATTTCAATCTGAACATTTTCATGTACATACATGTTCCAAGATGTGAAACATAACCTCACTTTTTTATTTAAATTTTTTAAGGAAATTTGTAAATGGTTATAACTTTAATTAAAGGTACAAAAATATAAATAAATTTAATGCTGACATCTTTCTTTCTGTGTATTTTTGCTGTAAATTTAGAATTTAGGCATTATGGGGCAAAGTGGGACAAAAAAAAGTTTATTTCAAGAGTACGATATTTGATAGCGAATATCTTGAAAACTATTTGAGATACAAGAATACCGGAAATAATTTTTTGTAGGAAATTTTATAGGCTTTAATTTTGTGTAAACCATTTTTTCGGGATATAAGCGAAAAAGCAACAGCTAACGGTTCTCTCTGGTTGTCTCCTTGAGCCCCGCTCACCTCGAAGGACTCTGATCCAAATACAGTGCTGAAGTCAAAAACTTGTTTGGTATCAATTAGTGTAAAAATGTAGAGATTTACAATCACAGGAGTTCTTTAATGGCTTTTCAAATTATAATTATTTTGTAATTATAATTATTATTATTTTGTAGCGGAGGTTGCAAAGAGAAGTAAACTGTTGTTGTTGATGGTTAATGAAGCTTTTAGAAAGAATACAAACAAAGAGACATTTTTAAAACTCAATTCTTGAAACTGGAAATGTAGCGTGATTTCGCTACTATCTTGGAATAATAAAATTTTGTATCTGATTATTTTGCTTCTATTTTTGCAAAGTTATAACAACTTAAATCTATGCATTTTTATGACTACACAACTATCAACATTCCCGATGAGTTTTGAAATATTCTTCCACATAAAGCCATCACATCGAAACGGTGTCCCGTTTACGACTTCAGTTTATCCCGTTTACGATACATCTGTTTTGCCATACCGCCATAAAATATTTAATTTAATATTTTCATTTTAATTGCTTATATCCACAAAAACGAAATTGTTGGTTAAATTGTTTGACGATGTGAAATATTACACAGAATTGATGTTTCTTTGTTTTTTCGCTCGAATGAGCCACATGTTTACTTTTAAAATTACATTACCTCACAATGTTGCCTCTAAACATGTATTTTATTCCGAGCATGTCTTCCGTTAACTTGTAAAATTAAGTTTGAAGCGCTAGATGGTCCCTACGCTTCATGTGCACTGATTTGGTTCTAGTCATTACGTTAGTGTATTCTACACGAGATATCGAAAATAAGGATTCATTTTTTTTTGTACATGGTGAAGTTTTAACAACACAGATGAGCAATTAGTATTTAAAGTTTTGCTACTTTTGAACGGGTTACGTAGGTGAGAAAAGTTTTCTTACAGTTTTCTGCAGCTAATGGAATTAACAATTTATAACTAGTTGAAAATGTAGGACAAGGTGTTGAAATGACAATTCGAGTGTCTTCAATTTTCCCTGTTGGATAACAAAGTTTGAGGTTGAAGAAAATTGTCTTAAAAAAAAGAGATCTCTTTTTTTCAAATTCAAAGGATTCATTAATTTATTTCTAAAAAGTTTTGAGCAATTGTAAATTTATGCACTGTATTTAAAGTAATGGCTTAAAACAGAACAAAGTATAATATTTTTCTGCTTCGGCGTGCTTTTCTTGTTCTATTTGCGTGTGTTTTTACACGTTTTATGTGTCTTTTTGCCATGCAGTTCTGCTTTGCAATTTCATCTGTCGCTGTAGCCAAATAACAGTCATAATGCTCGGACTTCCGTCCAACATTTCGCTCTGTAATAAAATGGTGTTATTCCTCACCCCACACCACCATAATCCAAACTATGACTCGCCACAGTTCACAACCATCCACACTAATAACGAGAACTACCTTTGTGGACCTATAATAACAATTAACCCTCTGACGTCGACTAATGTTTTGTAATATAGCCATTGCCCATATCCTCTTAATTAATATCAAAGTTGAGTCCATCTACACGGACATTATCTCTGTATATACACAATTGAATACCTCGAAACCACTTGTTCTAGGATAATTGATTGTAAGGTAGTACATTAGGACTAATAGCTTGTTATGCAGTCGATTGTAATTGATTTGTGGGAGTCGAAGGTCAGGAAATGATTCTTTGGTATTCTGTCAGGAAACAAAAGGAATTATGGAGAGAATAAAACACTTTAATATATACTCGGGTCGGGTGGTCACGGAAATCGTAATAGATAAAATATATGGTCGGGAAACAGCAATAAGTGCGTCAAGTCTATTTTCGCATTGTTGCTTTCGGTGGAGAATTTTATGACCTGACGAAAGCTCACGTCGAACGTTCAAAAATACCCAACAAAAGTAAAATTTACGTGAGATGGGTTTAACGGATTTTGCAATTTGCAAATATTCTTCAGAGTGCCACTTTATGCGAAAAAATAAAATCTTGCGCTTATTTAAGAAGACAAACAAGTCGATTTGGGTTTTTATTTTAAATAAAAATCAAGACGAAAGTAAAGCTCTCTGCATCAATATTTAAGGAGACTGAAAGTTACTAAAAAATATTGCTCATAAAATTTGAAAATGTCTTCGATAAGGTTCACGCTATCAGGATTTTAAGAGAGTAAAGCCGTAACAATGTTTATCGTAAAGCTCAAAAAAATTAAACACCTCTAGACTACATTACACGAAAAGGACGCAATTGGCAATGATAACAAAAGTTGCCTCATAAATTATTTCTGACAAATATTAATTGTTACCATTTGTAACAATAAAATAGGTCGCATACTACCCGTAAATTTTTCATTGTTGAGTTTTTATTGCATGTACAGCTAGAACCAAGAAAATATTCACTCTTTTGTGTGCCTGATAACTCATTGTTTACACTTGAAAAAATTCTGACCAAGAAAAAACTATTTTTATTTGCAAATTTTAAAATCCTCTTCCACTTTGTATAATTGCCCCATATATGACTTTTATTTCCTTTTTCATGATAATGTGTATAAATAGTCTTTTGTGACGCTCCATAAAACGCACAAAATGAGAACAAGAGCGAACATTAAATGTTTTTATTCTTCGCTGATTTGCATGGGGATTCTGGGTTATTCTGCAAATCTTTGTAAGGGCTGTTTCTAAGTATAATCGGAAATTGACCAATACTGAGGTGTGAAATCTTCTAAAAGGCATTTCAACTCAACCTTTTCTCCATTTATAACGCATTTCCCTAATGGATTCGGAAAAATCGAGTGATGTTAATTTTAGTTTAATCTTGCAAACTGTAATCTAGTTGATTGAATTTTGATAATAACGTTTATTAAAGTGTCACTGCGAGATTAATAACTTACGGACCTTCCGGCGGCTTAATTTAACAAAATTGGTCCAAGAAAGTTAGTAGTTTGCATATCATCATAATTAATTCAAAACCAAAGTCATGCCGCACCGCCGCGAGAATATCCATAAATTCGGCAATAAATTTCTACTACTATGAGCCCAAATAACTCTTTAAATATTCAAGTGTCAGAAATTTACGTAGTCGTGAATTCGAAATAAACTTTTCCTTTCTCCATACTTAAATAATGGATGTTTGAAAATTCTTTCCTCTCTTTCATTCCCGACCAATAACTTTCGTAATACCGCTTAATCCGCATTTTCTGTGCATACTTTCCCTTGTTAAGTTGGGACTTTTCTGTTTCAGACTGATTACTCCCGGCATTTAGAGGAGATCGTGAGGGAAACGGAACAACTTTTGTTAAAAATCGTGAGGACGATGCTCGTAAAAGGTCGACCCTGTGTCGAATTGCTCCGTCTTTGGGAGGGTTACTCCAACGTCGATGGTGGTAAGGACTTTGCTTTTACAACAATATAATGCCAGAAATTTCCTTTTTCACGAACCTTAAAATTCTAACCGCAAAACTGCGAGATTGCGATACTATAAATCAGCCCGCCACACTGACAGAGAATTTTAATATCAACGTTTTTCATTAAAGTTGGGACTGCCAATTGGGGGGCTGTTTTGATGGGCCTGTCTTGAGTGTCTCAGGAGAAAGTGTAATTGATTGCGGCTTAGTGGTTCGGGCTTTGCTATTAAGCTATCATTTTTATTATTTTTTGTAAACTTTGAGAAAATGATTCGAACAAAAACCTCGGAGATTTATTCTTGTATCTCGGGATTATCTGAGAAGCGTAAAGTTAAAATCATTAAAATTAAAACATGTGGGTTGTGAGTTGTGAAACCTTGATAAGTTAATTATTAATTAAGTTTATAATTTACAAAAGGTAGAGCTGCCTGAAAAGCATTATTTTCAAAGTAAATATATTTATTTTCAGACTCGTGGTTAAGTATCAAACAACCATTTGACTTCACATTTAATTAATTTCAATTTTGACTTTCACTTTTAAACTTTTGTTAAAGAATCGAACAAAACTGTGAATTTCCTATTTTATCAAAAGTTGTAAAACGTTTTTTCGGCCAGAGTTTCGTTCCCGAATTGTTCGCGAATTATTTGGTATTAGAGCAATGTGTTGTGGTAAATTGTAATTGATTACGCTTTGATAGTTCTAATTTCGCACCTGAGTTTAATCGTAGACATCCATCATCACGCTCTGCTCCCGAGTTCGAGTTCCAGTACCATAATGTCATGTATAAATTATACAACTGAACGTATTAGGGCTTACGCCGGCAATATACGCACATTGTGACCTAATAATCTACAGGAGATAATTAATATTCATGACGATGATTATTATTCGTTTTCAACAAATTTTAATACCCGTCTGTTTTCGTAAAACCCAAATTAAATTTTCAATCAAATGATTCCCTAATCCTTGATCCTTTTTAAATACCGGTAATTTGTTCCCACGCTTTCAGACGTGAAGATTAAGCACACGATGGAGGAAGAAACGAAATTATTTCTGCGAAAACTTGACGAATTGGAGAAGATTTGGACGGTTTTGTGTGGAACAGACGAGTGTCATGACGAGCAATCCCTCGATAAGTTACGCAGTAAAGCTCTAAAAATGAGGATGTGTGTGAAAAATCAGGGCAGTTTGAATGCCGGTGGTAAATTCGAATGGGTAGACTCGGTTTTGATAAAAGTAAAGGAGAATCTATGGCGCGAAACGTATGTTTAACTAAATTGATTTTAGTGTTTACAAGAAGGTTCGTGGTTGCTCGTGGATAACGTTAACTTGTGTAGTGCCGCCGTTTTGGATCGACTTAATGCGCTTTTAGAACCGAACGGTGTTTTAACAGTGGGCGAGAGAGGGGTGGATGAGAAGGGACGAATGGTTGAAATTATCCCTCATCCCAATTTTAGGCTGTTTTTAACTATGGATCCCAAAAATGGCGAGATATCGAGGTGAGCTAATACAACAATTCGCCTGTAAAATTTCTTTAATTTTGTTATTAACGTATGTAAATTATTGAAGATTTATTGTATTTATTTTATAAAGTTTAACCGAATGAGAGTACATCGGATTTGAAATTAATTAAAACAATACAAAAGTGTAAGGAATTCAATTTCGGTAATTGCGACAAAATTAGTTACAAACATGACATGAGAAAATAAAAAAATTGAGCACAATAATATGCAACATAAAATTAATAAAATATGGAAACCGATGGATTTATAAAAAAATATCTAAGATAAGTTGTAGAGAATTCAATTTACAAAATAGCTTAAACAGTGTTTCCTATATTTAACTTTTTAAACCTTAAATCAATTTTACTATTCACCGAAAGATAGTTTGTTCATTAATTAATTAAATAATTATTAACGCTTTAAAGACGCAAAATAGTCATTTTTGTAACAAGTACCTAAAGTATAGTTTTTGCGGATGAATCGTTGCTGTATTTGGACGAGGCGAAGCCGAGTATGAAATAGCAGTTAAGCCCGCAAAAAAATTATAGGTAGAAACAACATTTTTTGCTAAAGCTTCCAAAAACATATTTAAATTTCTTATTATGTGTCGAAAATAGTGGTTAAAAATTTAAAAAAAATACCCAGAATAACTATTTTACGAACTATTTAACTATTATTTAAAAAAAACCATTTTAGCTATTTTTAATAAAAAATTATGTAAAAACAAAAAAACAATAATTAT